GTTTCTTTGGCCTGGATTCATGGTTACTTTGATCACAGAAGGCCTGAAGCCAAGACCTTGGCTTAGAGAAAGAAAACCCGTGAGAAACGCTCTGCCATATCCTAAAGAGTTCACCCCATTTTGGGAGTCCCAGAGAGACTGCATTATAATAGAGTAGCTGATATTCATGAAGATGTCTTGGAATTCCATTTGAACTGTCTAGAAGGTAAGCAGGAAAGTATTCATTCAAATTTAGATATATTTTCATGGATGATTAAAACCAGTTAGGTTTATATGGATAAGTTCAATAATCTGTAAAAAAATCACTTATGAGAAAATGTTCATTCCTGGAAGATAAATGCTTTATAGTAGTTTGCTAATAGGCTTTTTGAGGTGTCACTTGCCACTTGATGTCTTTGTTTAGGCCAGCAAGTAGCATTCTAGGTTGTTCTTCCAGTGAGCAGTGTATGTGTAATCTACTCTGTTGACATTGAATCCTGTCTCTGTCACTTATTGTCGAGAACTTGCCGAGTTCTCAATTTGCCTGAGCCTGTTTTGCCATCTGTTAAGACCATTTCATCCCATGATTTTTTAGAAAAGATATTCAAAAACTCCTCGCATAGTTACTCTCCCTTCACCATTATTTTTACCCATGCTTTGATCTTGGTTGGCAACTTGCTGTGCTATTATTCTGAGACTAGTGATTCTTCTTGACCACCTGTCACCTGAACCTCTTCGCTGGTTTCTTTCTATTGGTTAAGATAACTGTTGTGAGGTACACAGACCTTTGCAAACTTTTGTAAATCCCTGGAGCTCCTAAGGAGATGGGAACAGATATTCTTGACTTTTCAGAATAGACTAGAAGAGTTTAGTTGGACCTTTTTCACAAGGCAAAAAATAATGGGGCTCCCATTAATAGACTGTCTACATACACATTTATGTTACACACACACGTTTGTCTTGTATGGGAATAAGCTAATAGTGATAATTGATTATTTGCCTCTGGGTTCCTTTCCTAAAAATGGTCATTAATTTCAGACAAACTCCTGTGTGCTCTGTAGGCTTCCCTGAGTTGGTGGTAAGATTGGGTCTGAGGCTTCCTAGTTTAGTAAGGGTGTGGCTGGAGTCAGTTTCCTTTGTCCTCTATAACATCTGAATTGCTTTGGCCTTGGTCTGGAGAGTGGTTTGTCCTTGGTTAGATCAGGCACACCCAATATAGCTCTGGCTTTCCTTCTCTCTTCCTTTTCAGCTTGGCTGGCCGGCTGGCCTGCCTGCCTCTTTGGATTCTTATCTTTAAATAGAGATAATTTGGAAATGAGTGTTTAGTTGTTGCACTGCTTGTTCCTGTACCTTTCCCATCTCTGAGCTTTCGTTTATTGGCTGCTCACATTCCATATCCTATTCTCTGCACACATTACCAAAGTCTCCAAGACCTATTCATTACTCAGCTTTGACTGCTCAGAAATAAGACTGCTTGGTATTCTCATTGGCCAGTTTCCTACCGTCTTAAACTCTTATGACCTTATTCTGTAATATGTATTACTAATATTACATTCGTAATATATAAAAAGTATTACTTTAACTTTTTAGTCCCTATAACTCAATTCAACCAGTGACCCTGATTTAGGAATTGTTTGTGTTACTTCTAACTTGCTGAATCAAAGGATTCTACTTTTGTTTATATATTTTAGACTTTTGCTATTAAGTGGAAAACCACTGGACAAGATGGTCTGAGATTCGCTTCCAGCCGTGGCATTCATTCTATGATCCCTCTAGTGGTAGCATCTACTTTTTGATTAGACAAGGATACTTAAGCTGTATCACAAATAGGTCTACACTCATGATGGCACTTGACATCACATACGGTCTGGTTCCTGATACTTTTTACTAAGGCTTTGGGCTGGCCATCTCAGTGCCACTGTCCCTTTGCTTCATAAAATTTGTCAAGAGACCTTCTCCTAATTAGTTGTCCCCATCTTTCCCATTCTGGTGGCTTTGCCTTTCTGACAATTTTATGTCTGTATAAAGGGGGGGCAGGATCTTTGTTTCTTTCATTCTAACCACCCAGTGCCTAGCTTTGTACTTTTCTGAAAGTGCTATAGATCCGTCATATGGCTCAAATACTCTTTTCTGTTTCAGGATCGAATCATCAATTTAGTTGTTGGCAGCTTAACATCCTTACTGATTCTAGTAAGTATCTTTATTTTGTCTCACCCAGGCTCTTAGGCAAAGTTTTTAAAACTTTAGTACTGTGGTTCAATTAACTCCAAAAAAGTAATTAAATGGGGCCAGTGCATAAGCATGTGAAATATTCCAGTTATATTAATGCAATTTTATTACCACTTAAAACTGCAGTTTGTAACTAGAGTAGCTAAACTGATTTCCACCCTTACCCCCAGTTGAATATGTATAGTACAAGTCAAACAGTTTTGTGAGTTTGCCTTGTTTGTTTGCCTAGTAGGTTTGTTATCAGTGGCTACCAGTAACTCCTTTCTGCACACAATTCACAACTCCCAATTTTTCCTGCTAATACCTTGCATTTATTTTATTCTTAAAGTACATTACCTTTTGGTTCAAAAAGATTTGGTCAGCATGTAGTAATTTTTCATCCCATATAATACAGCTTGGGGCTATCAAAATAAAATAAAAACAAAACTCTATTTCCCACATACTGAGAATGACATTTCTGTGGCACATTTTCATTAAATATAAGAAAATTTTAGTTAACTTTGTTTCCATGACTTAATATAAAGAATGGGTACATTGCTGTTATCTATGGGAGAAACAACTCTATAGGGCATTTGGAACTTATCTTTCAGTATTTTTCACGTTAAGCAAAAACAGTTTAACAAAAAGGTTGTAACTTTTCCCAATATAACCGTTAATCTCGGGAATGAGGTTGAAATGCTTCCTTTTTAATCTCTAACGAAGAGGTTATTTCTTGAGTTTAGCTAGATTTAACACTATGTTGTCTCCTTTCATAAAGGAGGAAAAGTTAGAAAAGAGGAAGTACTAAAAGAAATAACACAAGCATATTTACAAATATTTTATTAAATATATTACTGTTCCAGAAGGCAACTGTAGTGGTAGGTATCATTTTACGTGAGAGATTTTGTAATATACTGCCTAGACGCCAGCCTAACCAAGTCTTGGAATTACTCCTAAGGCCTGACATAATTTCTCTTCATACAGGTAACGCTGATCAGTGCTTTTGTTTTCCCTCAACTACCTCCAAAACCATTGAATATATTTTTTGCTGTCTGCATCTCTTTGAGTAGTATTACTGCCTGCATACTTGTGAGTACTGTTTAGAATTTAACTTGAGTATCCTCTCAGTGCCTGGGACAGATTCCCAGCCCTGGATCTGTCTATATGAAAGTTTCTTTAATTACAACTCTCACCTGCCAAGGGTGTCAGAATTCTCAATATTAATCGCAGGGCTTTCTTTAATTTTTTTCTTTTCTCCTAAATCCCAAAGGTGTAGCACTAAAGTGAAACTGTTCCCTTGACAGGCTAAAAAAATAGAAGGAAAAAAATAGTTAAAAGACCTAGGTGGGGTGGGGGGGAGCAAAAAACTTAGGTGGTGAAAGATTTAATTTACTTCTGTTCCTTCGAGGACTACCCCGCAGGGCCCAGCAGGCTGAGAAATGCCATTGCTGCTCTTAAGGGAAGACGTATGGCACCCTGGATACATTTCTAATAATTACAAAACTAGTCTATTTCCATCTCTGCTTATCACCCCAAGTGAAAGTAATTAACACCAGTCTCCTGGGAAACCTAAAGCTGCAGTTGTATCCTTGTCACAAGAATGTTCACTTTTACTATAAAAAAGGCTTTCTTTTAGGTAAGGAAAACATAGGTGGTGGGGGATCTAAGCTGCGTACTGGCCTAGTGTTCAGCCGCTCATTAGTTGGCTGTTTCATTTCCTTTGAGGCAGAATCAAAACAGTAAACCCTTAAAAGCAATTGTTTTGACTCACATAGGGCTTAAATCATAATGGTAATGTGCTTATGAGTCAAAATTAAACGGGGATGGGGAAGGCTACCTCCATACTTCTAAGTCACTGATTCTGCTGTAGTCCTGACCTGAGGGAAGAAGAGGGCCACCCTACTTTGGGAGCCTTTGGACAGAGCTCCAAGAGATGCGCTCCTCCTACTCCCAACCAAAAGCCAGAAGTGACTAATAGTGAACTAGTTTAAACCAAATACATGCTCATGGAAGCCCAATTTTGTATTGGCAGTCCAAACGTTATATTAAAGTTGTCCTCTCAGTACCTAAAAAAAAATTATATCTTTTACTCAAATATATTTTAAAAATGTCCAGAAGGTACATATTTTAGGTATGTAGTCTTGGTAGACACTCTGTTGTCTGAAAATAGAACAAAGTTAACTGAGAAAGCAGGAATAGGTATGATAACTTGGTACTACTTGAATTGTAAAAAATAAAAATTAAATTTTGGCTGCATTAGTTTCAGGAGTGTAGATTTTAATAACGTCTCATTTAGAGGGAAAATAATTAGTTGCATTTTAAATTTTAAATACTTGATCCAGTGACTATTACTTAAAACTTGTATTTAATTCTTCTTCTTTTAGATCTACTGGTATCGACAAGGAGACTTAGAACCGAAATTTAGAAATCTAATTTACTATATCTTATTTTCTATCATCATGCTATGTATATGTGCGAACCTGTACTTCCACGATGTGGGAAAGTGAGGCTGCCAAGGAGAAAATACTTACCAGGTCTCTTCAAAGCTATGTATTAGGACTGTAAGTGCTGGATAAGGTATGCTGAAGAATCTCCTGCAGAAGTCTGATACATGATTTTCATGTAATTGTGAATCTAAATTCCCTCTTGCAAGGGAGACACGTCATAGATCACGTTGCTTTTTGTTTAAGGAGCTGATGTTGCACTTAAACATTCCAACCCTTAAAGCTCAAATAGCACAAGTAATTTTCACTTTTGAGATTAAAATTTTTTATAATTAGATTGCATGGCGAAAGGCTATGTAACAATCAATCTTGCATTTTAAGACAAATATTCTTTTATTTCTGTTAAACTGAATATACAATTGTTCCCTAGGCAACCAACTTTTGCTTATAACTACAATTTAAGTTCACGTTAACAAAACACAGACAGTGAAAAGACAACTTTGATTGTGATGATCTAATTACAATAATAAATAAAATAATTTATACAATTTTTTTTTTTTTTTGTTGACTTTTCTATAGGGGTCATATGCATTAAAGCCCTAAGAGGCTAGTTTTGGTTTAACCTTCTCTAATATAGGAATGACTCTTGATTTGTTTCCTTTCATTACAGAAGCATTTTTTTTTTTAATTGCCTGAGAGGGAGAAGTTACTTTGTACCCTCACCAGCTAATGCACTAAGTGAATGGCAAACTCTGATACCCTCCTTAAATATTTTCTGGGTAATTTATATAGCAAAACATGTAAGAAAAGGTCATGGTATAGGACAGGGAACTTTACTTCCCTCCCATTTAATTTTACTTCAAAGTGCTAATTTTGTAAACTGATGACAACTGGTTCTGAGGGAAAACTCTACTTAGCTGTAGTGAATTTTCTTAACTCTTTTAATGCTTTCCTTTCTGCCCAGCTTAAATCAGCTCCCACCGCCAGCAATGGGTAAACCACAGGTAACTACCACAGTCACCTCGTAGGTCTATGTCCTTGTATGCTGGTCAAGTCTCAAACTAATGATAATCTTTTTGAAGGTGGTCACTGGTAAGATCACGCTGATGTGACCTCTCTGAAATATAAATAGGCCTACCTGAGACAGGATAGAGATTCATGTCTCATCTTTAGAGATGAATATTACAGCTTTTAAAACAGAGTAGTTAAGCTTTGGTGATTTTAAACTTTTCTCAGTAGGTGAAGTGAACGAAATTCCCTGCTGACAAATGGCACTAATCACAGGGATCTATCTATGTAGTTAAGACCCCTTATACTCCACTCATCTACACGCTTTCATAAGACTAGAACTCAGATGATATATTTAAAGGAGGTAAAAAGTCATAGCAGCAACACTCTATGTGGCTTAAGCACTGTAGCTATTTAAAAGCCAGAGGAATGGTAAGTTAAACCTCTTGGGAGCTGCTCCTATTTCTTTGGAGATGTTGTAATTAACAGTGTGGCTTCTCTGCCTGAGCTACCTGTTTCTAAGAATTACTTAATGACAGTTTACCAAATCCTCAACATCCTTTGAGTCTTCTGAAACGGGACTGCCCAAAGATGATCCAATGATATTTGATTCTTCTCGATGATGTTGGAGTATGGGATCTGTAATGAGTTAAGTTTCAAGTTAGTCTTAAATGTATATATTCTTTAATTCACATCAAGAATTTAAGTATTTTACCAAAGTGCAAAATTTAAGAAGACTAGTCTTTATTGTTGGAGCAAGAAAGACTAAAATAACGGAATTAACTATCTAACTGCCTGCTTTTCCCCTTAAGACTTATCAGGCACGTGATGGAGTTGTATTACAGTACCTGTTAGTGTTGTCAAAGGCAAGACAGAGTCTGTATCTATAACATCAGATGCCTGGATAAAGCCATGTGGTGAAGGAACAATAAGTATCGTTTCATCATCAATTGTTGTTTGATCAACTTGTTCTTCTATAGTAGGAGACTCTAAATCCTAAATAATAATAATTGAAAAAATGAGATTCTGACTCATATTCCTTATTAGTTTTCCTTAAGATCCCAAACACGTTTAGGTTTTAAAGGGCTTAACTTTCAAACATGATCCCATTTTAAAATTAGAATATAAAGAAATGAAAGTTAAGGTCTTAAAATGGACAAAGCTAATAACTTCATACTCTAAAGTACTAAATATTAACAAAAAAGAACTTAAGAGAACCAATTCAGTTATAGGTTCCCTGAATCTAGAAGAAATAACGCTGCTCTACTGTGGGTTGAGGTTCCTAAGCTAAACTGCAAAGATCTGTTACTAACCACCCTCAGGAAAATGGTTCCAACAAACATTTCTAAATGTACTGGAGGTGGACAGGGAAAGCTTTTAGTGACGAACAGTGGTAAGACAGAGCCACACTACTGGCTGTCTGATACTTGTGAGGTCAGAGGTGGGGGTTTGCACTTTATTTAGTCTCTAAAGTAAAAAGGAAGGTACTAGAGGATCTCACCCCATAAATTACTTCTAGGCTCTTCCCCTAAGTGCAACTTACCTCAGTAACATAAGCACGGGCTAAATGAGAGGGTGAATCCTCCTCTTGTTTATGGTCTTCTTCTGTTCTGACCATAACACTATTCATCAGTTCTGTGCTATTTTGGTCACTGAATTTGGATACATGAGCATCATTAAATGATGGCTCTACAGTCACCTTAGGTTGATGAATTTCATCTGGGAAAGTATCTGCTTCTAGGGCATCTGGAGGCTCAGGAAAATCAGATGAGTGAATATCACTATCTACTGTCAGTTCTGCTTGGGATATGGAAGAAGTGATGTCCTCTGTGGCAACTGTCTGAATGATGACTCTTGGTGTGTGACACTGCACTGTAACATTGTCACTTGTGTTCAACAAATGTTCTGGCTATAAAATGTTAAAGAAAACAATGGTAAAATGAAAAAGTACCTTCCATATTCAAGTTATAGGCAACAAATGACATTTATAGGTGCTAATAGGGGCTACTGTTCCCCCCACCTCTCACCTCTGGCACTGAAGTGTTCTTATCACTATTTTTCTAGAAACCTTTTCCTTTCCCCATTGGGACCTTTGCTCTCCTCATGTCCCTATTCCCCTCATGTAAGTCCATCATATGTAAGGAGACATAGTGGGTGAAGATTTACCTCAGTGTAGGCAGAGCGATAATGTAAAGTATTGTTTCTGGTACAACAGCAGTAGGACAAATTGTTTAAATAAATGGACTGTATTAATTTTGGCTCTTATATTTTTTATCTCCTAATCCTGGTCCCTAACAGATATTCAGATACTTGAACTGAGCTCAAAATCGACTCCTCCCCTAGAGATAGTAGTACTGAAGTTGAAGGCACATGGGTTCTGTCATAACACTGAAAACTAGAAAAACATGGTGACACTTGTCAGCCAATCTTCTCTACCAAAACTAGGAAAATCAAGGAATTTATGTAAGGTAACGTACGGATAAAGCATGAACAATGATCTGTTCAGGAGAAGCAGGAGCAGCAGCTGTCAGGGTTACTGTAGGACTAGCAGTCAGAGTTAGGGGAAGGCCTTGGCTTGAGCTCGTTTGAAGTAGGTAGGTGCCTGGAGTGCCAGTGGGCTGTAAATGGAAAGACTAAAGGAAAAAAAAAAAAAAGATCAACACAGGTGCAACAGATTATTGAGTAAGTAAGCAGACTTACTAGTACTTATTAAGTCCAGCTCTGTATCCGAAATGGGGACTGACTTTACTAGCCACAAATGTACTTACCAATTGTGAAGGTGCAAACGTAATAAAATGAAGGGTATAATACTCTTGACTACTTGTCGTTAAGTCATTACTTGGCCTGGAGGTTTAAGAGAGGAAAGGCCTTTATCCTGTTTCTCGCTCCCTGTATTTCTATGGCCTGGTCTCAGTTTTTTGTTTCATGACACCAAGACATGGTCACACAAGCCACTTTCTAGTGTGCTGGTGCTAACAGGGTCTACTGTTCCCCTACCCTGTAACCCAGTGCACCCAGTCTTCCCTCATTATCCTTTCTCTATGGCACATAAAAATTGGCAGTCTCCTAGTTTAAAAAGCTTCACATTTTTGAAAAGGCAATGCAGCAGTATTACTTGAACAGATTTTTTTCCCCATAGCATAATTTTAGCAAATATTTGGCAAATATTAAGGGGAAATGTATAGAAATAGCAATTAGCAGTGTTCTGCTGAAGGAGAAAAGAAAATTACTATTTGAAAAGTTGGTTAACAGATAATATGTTTATTTTTTGAGACTACGGATGTATAGCAAAACTCAACACCTTTCATAGCCATTAAGCTTCTATATAATAATTTGAGTTGAGTTTGTTCTAAGACCCCGAAGGAAAAGTATGTGCACTTAAAATAGAGCTGGAGGTTAAAGTCACATGACCTGTTCTTTAGTCTGATGTGGTCTTGTGGACTTAAGCCACAACTGGGTATCATTCAGTGAATCTAGGTTTTCTTATTGCTAAAGCGAGGATAACAAACAACTACCTCTCATGGAAAAGGTTGTGAAGATTGGAAGTGATTACAATGGTGTCTGGCACACAGTGGGGAATCATTTTCTTTCCTCCATAAAAGTGAAAGCTGAATGTTTTCTAGCGGTTGTATTTATTAATCACATATGGTCTGGCAGTAAATTCTTTATATGTACGTGTATATTATAATACATGTACTTTATTTAACATACTTAAATAACATTCATTGCTCATAATTTTTTGTAGCTAAGGCACTATCATCATTCTCTATTAATTAGGACAGAAGTCTCTAAATATTTGATTGTAACCCCACAGATAAAAACCTGAACACATTCTAAATATATGTGTATAGTTTATTTGGCCAGGAGAAGGAGGTAGCAAAATAAAGTAAAATGAAGTTCTTTTTTGTACCTGTGAAAAATGGTTATTTTATACATCCTGTTTTGGAGATGACTGGATTAGGAAACAGGCTTAAGTAAATTTACAGAAGTTCCAAGGGTGTTCTTAGAGAACCTTTTGCTGTGTTGGGCTATCCTCATGAGATTTGGCTATGGAGAGGATAAACTCTTGCACTAATACCACTGATGTTCTTTATAGCAAATCTTGACACAATTTAATTACTTTATATTTTCTTTGTGAAAAATGAGCTAATACTGGGTTTACCCTATTTTAGAAAGCAAGAAGTGGGACTTTTAAAAGAAATTTCCATCACCCTACAAAAGAAACCCCATTCAAATTAGGAGCCATGCCCCATTTTCCCCCAAAACCTCTTAGCATAGACATTGCTAATCTACTTGCTCTCTCTATAGGTTTGCCTGTTTTGGACGGTTCAAATGAATGGTAGTTGTACTCTATATGATTTTGTGTCTATTTTCTTTCACTTAGTATAGTGTTTCCAGCGTTCATCTTTATTGTAGCGTATGTTAGTACTTGGTTTTCTAACTGCCAAAGAATCGTATGTATGGCTACAGCATATTCTATTTTATCAGTGGATGGATGTTTGGGTTGTTTCCACTTTTTGATTATGATACGAACATTCATGTATAACTTTTTATGTGGACATATTTAAGTATACTTAGAATTGGATCATATGGTAACTATTTGTTTAACCTTTTTAGGAAGTGCAAGATTCTTTTCCAAAGTGGCTATGCTATTTAGGACTGAGGCTTTTAAATTCTGTATTCCCAACATTGCAATGTGCAACATTGCTAGTGCAGTGTTTACTGAATGAATGTTGTTAAATAATTCATTCCACAAACTTTTTCTCAAATAACCAATATGGACCTTTTGGTTATATATTTGCTTATGATTCAGTACAAAGCCATAGCATGTACACTACTCATTAGCACTGTCATTTTAATACATAAAAAAAGCATACTATTGGTTTATATACAGATGAAGAGACTAAAATTAATTATAAAAGTAGAAATCTGATTTATGTCATCTTAACAATCTGGCCTAAAAATCATGGACATAGTTGCACTTTAAGCGTCATGTTTTTATACTTCATTTGCTTATATGTAACATTTCTAAAACTGATGCCTACTGATCTTTCTTATGCATAAAAGTGGCCAATATCTTCTTTGCGAAGTATTACTCACTGGAAGAATCTCAAACGTTTGTAGTGTTCCACTGTTTAGTGTTATTGTTTCCGAGTCAACAGTAGCAGTAGGGGAGTCTGTCGAAGCTGTGGTAAGAACAAAGACAACAATAAATAAAATACTTCGTAAATTTGAATTTCCCCAGTGTACTTAATTATTACAAAGGCAATCTTGTATTGGACAATTTATCTGGAAACGTGAAGTCATTTAAATATCTTATGAGATATAAGAAGTTTAATGGATTTGTCTGGGATGGCAAATCAGGGGTTGGCAAACCAAGGCCCACAGCCAAATCCAGCCTACCACCAGTTTTTGTAAAGTATTATAGGAACACAGCCATGCCTGTTCATTTATGTATTTTCTATGGTTGCTTTTATACTACAATGTCGGAGTTGCACAGCTGTGGCAGAGAATATTTGCTTACCCCTGGTATAGACTGTAAAATATTTTAATGTTAGGATGTAAGAGGAATACACTAAGGCTAACCTGTAACGAGATAAGAACTTGGTAAAAAAGAATTTTCTGGACATTCTGGTAGGTAGTACAGATGCCTGTAATGGTATTCCCAAAACATTAGGTTTTAGTTCTAGTGGCATCACTTCCTAGCAATGTAAACTTCAGCAAATAACTTACTTTAATCCAAACTAATGTTCAGAAACTTGATCTGTCCTGCCTACCTCACAGAGTTGTTATGAGGATCAAAACTATTAAAGAAATATAAGTATTATTTCAGAAGACCACGTTTGGGAGACCGAACAGCACTTTAGAGATCAGATAGTATCTCTTTATAGGTGGGTCAACTGAGACACAGATTTAATCAGTGTCTGCTGAAGGTTATATAGAACTAAAACTTATTAGAAGATATGTGATCTCTTGGTGCTTTCAGTCATACCTGGAGGTAAATCCACATGAAAAATGAGAACTGACTTTTAATGCATACTGTTTGTTAGTTTATTATATTCTGACTATGTCTCAGTTTGAAAGAAATGTGATACCTTTACCAAAAGAAATGCACTTGATTCGTGTTTTTTCTCTTAATACCTGATGGATTCTTAAGATCATACCTACAATAATTTGAAGCGATTCCAGATAACCTCAATCAAGGGTAAGCAAACTATGGCTGCAAATAATGTGGCTCAAGGCTAAGAATTTACATTTTAAAGGATAATTTAAAAATAAAACAAAATTCTAGAAAGGCCTATGTAGCCTGAAAAGCCTAACATGTTCATATTTTCTATTCTGGCCCTAAAATCTGCCGATCCTAAAGGAAGAACAATCATGAGACTGTAGCCTGAATGTCAAGAATAATGGGTGTGTATTAAAACTCTTATTATACTCACATTTCTTACTGGAATAACACTATTCTAAGTACTTTCAAAAAGCCATGCTGTGAATGAATACTAAGGTATCATTTTCCCCAAAAAGTACCATCAACTCAATAGCCAAGGAAAATTGTAACAATCTCCATGCACGATTTATAGCCAACAGCAGCTCTCATATTTATGAGTAGACTAGTAATTTCAATTGCTTTGTAATTCTCAAAACTATAAAAATGAGCCGTGCCAAAGAAAAATTCTTTGTTCTTTATTATACTGGTAGAAAGCTAAAGCAAATAACCAAATTTAAATTAGAACTTTAAGGCAGGCATGATTAGTTTAAATGTCTCTAAGATAACTTTGACAGTCACTGCATATACAGATATATAGTGTTAATAACACTAACAGGTGGCCCAGTGATTCTCAAACATTTGAAAATCTGTATGGTATTTCTATTTGCCATAATGATTAGAAAGCACTACTGGCATTTTGTGGGTGAAGTCAGGGACACTGAGCGTCCTACAGTGTGTAGGAGCGCCCTGCAAACAAAGAACTGTACCCCTCAAAATGCCAATAATACCCTAGTTGAGAATAACACATTGATGTAGTCTTGGCAATGACCTTTCCATAGGCAAATAACATTACATAGGAAAAAAAAGTGAAAGTGAAGAATAATGGTTCTGAAATTTTATTCTCATTCCTTTTCTGTCACTGACGGTAAGAGAAGTAACTAGAAAGACCAACTTGGCTTACAGCTTAGGATATACTTTTCTACTTCTACAATTGCTAGGTTCTCATAATCTCGTTAAGAAAAAAAAAAAAGGGGGGGGCGGTTAAGGAATTCAGAGGGGTAGGCAAAATAGTTCCTATAGGAATTGGCTCTTTATTAAGAAAATCTTCAACCTCACCAAAATCCATTTCTTCTATAGTCCATCTGAAATCTTTTCCTAATTTTTGTCTTCTGTTGAATTACTACAAATGATGTGCCACTGCATGAACTCTATTTCTTTGCACAATTGATTATATTTTAGGTCGTTTTCTATTAATAGTTAATTTATAACATCTTAGAAAGTAAGATGATTTAAAACGGTCTATAATGGCTGAGCAGTTGGTTATCAGTTCTTCCTTGTCACACATTCATCTTTTGTTCAAATATTAATTGAGCTAACAAATATAAAATGCCTTAGATCTCCTTTAATTTGTCAGCTTGGATAAATTTCTATCAACATTCTACAAGACTGAAAGGTGTCAGAGCCATTAACCATATCAAGTAGCAAGGAGTCTTGAGGTTCCAACACTTACAGACATGGGTGATCTGGACTGGAATCTGCAAAGCTGTCACGGGGCTTGGAGAGATGGCTGTACTGTCTTCCAAGCGGGCGACTCTGATCTGAACGTGCTGTACACTGGAACTGGAATTACTGTTTGGAACTCCAGATCCTGATTTATTCTCCAAAAGCGTTGGGTTGTTTTTTTGATTCTCATGTAACTGTTTAAGACCTTTTATTAAGACTGAAGGGAGATGGGTAGACAAAAAGAACATTGATTCTCCGACAGACCACCATCTAAGCAGCAAGGGAGGTGGGGGGTAAGGAGGGAAAGTATTTGGAATAAATAATTGTATACTAGATGTGAAATCTTACCAAAATTACAATAAAAATATTTTAAAACTTCAACCTGTCTGGAAATTTTTGTAAATGTTATTCATCACATCAGATTTAGAAAATTTATAATCTAATATTGTTCTTGCCATCTAAGATGCATTAAAAAAACAGCCATTGTGAAGAGCATGGAAACAGAACACTTTCTGTATACTAGGGTTTTGTCATAAAATTATTTTATTAATGCTAATATTATTAATATTGGTAATGCTAAGTAGCTTATTTTCATTTTTAAATAAATACTTTTCTCCCAAGGACTCAAAGGCATTTGACTATTTTAGCCACTGCAAGCACATCATCAGTTGGCTCTGAGTCTAACTCAGAACTCCAGAGTAGCAGCTGATCTTTTCCAAATAGTAATATGCAGTTGCCCTGAGTTTTTGTATAGGAAAGCCAACTCTAGACTTGCCCTCCTCTGCTAGTCATGATAAATTACATCGGTCCTCTCAGGTGATGCTGCAATCTGGCTGGATTCATGTTACATTAGTATTCATCCACTCTTCTAGATTTAACATCGGATTTATAAATTAATAACTGGGCATTTAATTTTCAAAACACCAGATTTTCATTGAGCCAATATTTCTCAGCATTTAATTTTCCTTTGAAAAAATGGAAGTTAGAGAACTATATTAAGAGGAATGATTTGATTACTTAAACAGACTGTACAACTTAGTTTAGTGTCTAAGTGCACAGCAGATGATGAAGTGAAAAGTATGCTATGCCTCATGCAAACCCAACTTAAGATCTCTAGATTTACATAAATGAAATCAGAAATTTACACAACCTTTGTTCTATACAATAAATCACAGAATTTCTCTACATAAACTCAGTTAAGATATTTGAAATTATTCAACTTATAAAAATAAAAATTGATTTAAACTTAAGTTTTCAGAAATACCTCTTTGTACGCAATGAAAAATATATGTAAAATTTAGTTCTTCTTCATAGTTTATGTGAGAGAATAAGAATGTGTGTAAATGTGTATATTTTTATCTTAGGTGCTTTGAAAATTACAAATCATATCAACTCTTATTTTCCAGAGAAATAAAGCACAGGTTTAAGTGAAAATTTATGATTCATATCTTTAGCTGAGGCAAAGAACTTCTAATCTCTAACTCCCAAGGAGTAAATATGGTTAAGACAAGGGAAGGACTTTAGCAAATAATACATTACCAGGGAATGAAACATCCTTATGGTTTGCAATTTGCCTTTTGATGGTCCACCATTTACTTCGTAGCCATTGTGGTGAACGGACACTGCTCCATCCTTCTGCTAACAGATCCCAGTTTATGTCATTTTCATCAGCTACATCAAGCTCTGCTATCCTACAGATTACAAATAAGCATCTGTTAGATGTTAATTTATTTCTCAATAAGAACCCTCCTTTGACTCTACACATGATGGCACTGATGATAACAGAAATGACAGGTTGTCACTGACATGCTGTTAAGTTGCATGGGAAAGGATTCCAGGACTGTAGACCTGCTTCGAGAGCTAAGAGTTATGAAATATCACCAGCAACAGCCTTTTGCTAATGGTACAACCAATGGGCTGAACCATAAATAAACCAGATGAAGCACTGTGAAGGAAAGGGAGTAGCTAAAGGTTAAAAAGGATAAGAACAGGTTTAGTGTTCTGCAATGTTTTATAGTGTGTTATAGTTATTTCCTGCATCTGAGCTTTTCCATTTGCAAAATAAATGTTTAGAAATGAGCTAAAAGTGACTAGTTGAAAAAAGCTATTAAAAGCAATCCAAAACAAAATGACAAGACAAAAACAATATTCCAGCAGCAACCAAAACCAGAAAACCCCACCAAAAGAATGTCCCCCCGCCCCCCGAAAAAACACAACTAAATGTGGGTTTTTAATGGTTTGTTTTTTAGCTTTAACTGTCATGCTGATTTTGGTTTTCAGTAGAGAACTATCCGCAACAATTGCTGCTATTCAGTGTCTCAAGTATTTTCTTATATTTTTGCCCATTTGAGTCACTAAGTCTTAATAGTTAAACCAACTAATTAAAAAAATTAGCTTAGGATTATTACCTTAAAGCTTTTTTGGATATGTATGAAATGGAAGTATCTGATTTAGTCTAGTTTGAAGGTGCGGTTAACTGCCGACTGGGCCCCCTTCTTGGCAATCTTAGCCAAACTGAAGGGCATGGAGACTGAATGGCCCTCTTACCTTCAGTATGGCCCCCTCGGCTAGGACTGAGGCACATGGGTGGGACAGTGGAAAAGCTGCACTGCCTCGGCCTGTGCCATACTTGTTCTGTAGGAATAGAGAGGACTTCAGTCTCCACACCTCCTATCTGGTACTTTGCATGAGCACTACACTCACTAAAAAGGCACAAACACAAAACAAAGAGCTCAATATAAAATACTTAGGATCTAAACAGTGGCTCTTTATGGAAAGGATGCTTTTTGGACATTAAGCATCTAGGGAAACCAAAGAGAAAAATCAATCAAGACACACCCATAGCAATTAAGGAACTTTTGTCATTAAGAGATTTGAGGACACAAACCTGAGGATGAGATTGATTTCATCTTCCTTTGTCCACTCAGTACCTCCACTCTGTTTCCAGTTTAGGTAATTCAGCCATTTAGAACGACACTGCTTTTCTGAGCGGGTACCCACTCGTTCTGCCACAGCTGCCCAAGACACACCTTGTGTGACTATGTCACCTGGCTCAGTGCTTGTCAATTCATGGACCACCTCTGCAAGTCTCTTTTCCTCTTCTTCTGTCCACTTCCCTGAAAAAAGGAAATCATCCAGACTACTACTGCTACCTTTTTTTTTTTTTTTTTGCAAATCAGACTCAGCCCTGTATTTCCAAGGATGGGAAGTATGCAACAGTACTAAAAACATTTCCAAATGACCCTCGGGTAAGAAACTGCATATACTTAGTAATACAGTTACATTTCACTAGTCTAGTAAAGTTCTTGGTACAAAAGAAAATACAGGATCCTAATAGAAAGCATTGACTCTTTAAGAAAAACTACTCTAAATATAACTAGAAGGAATTCTGTGCTCTCAAGTTATACTAAGTCCTGAGTAAGAAGAGCTTCCTTCATGGCTTGATGGACACAGAAAACTCATACTTTTTTCTCAGTCTCACTAAAGATTCTCTGCTTTGTGGAAGTGTAATAGGCTCAATAGAGACCATTCCTTCTAGGAATGAATGATAAGGGATAAATGGAATAACATCTATGGCCTCTTACCCATTTTGGTAAAAAAAATAAATTTATACCATCTCTTTTCCCTGCTATCCCAACTCCAAGCTGTGATGAAACTGAGACTAGTATTCACATGTATTTCTATTCCAGGTTTTCCTAAACCCATACACCTATTAATAACATCAAATGTTCCTTTTGGTCTTTTCCTAAGGAGCTTGAGTAGAAAACCAGGAAAAAAAGAGAACCTTTAAAAATAAAATCCCTTTCATTTCTGTTTTCATTTTATTACCAGTAACTAAAAACTTCTAGAAAAATTAAAAAAGGCTATGTGCTTGCTTCGAGGATGTGGTAGGCAAAGGTCTGGATACCATGGATTGAAAACAAAGTCCTGTTCTCCTAGTTTAGCATGGTAAGAAAGGAAGGGAAAAATCAGACTGTGCTGGCTTACAGCGTGGTACAACAGAGAACTCCTGATCAGAAACAATACATGGAAAGGTAACAGGCAGATCAATCCTCCTCAGGCTGGCAATCAAGAAAGAGCAGTTTTTCCAAATTACAGTAACAAAAGAGGTTCTGTACTCATAGCACCTTACATGAAACTAAGGTCT